TAAACACCAATATATTAATATAATAATTATTAATATCCACCTAAAGGTTAAAAATGTTTTGGGAAGAACTGATTTAAATCTACAAGAGCAGTGTAAAAATATATCTAATAAGTACAAGGTAATATTTATGTTTCCATAACATCGTGTATAATTATTGTTTTTAATAACACTATTTAAATCTTAATTCTACAACTTAGAAATTATTAGAAGCTGCGATGGTTTCTTACACAGACTTTATTCGTACAACCGAAAAAAGGCATGAAAATACTGTTGGACACGTTTGGGTAAGTTACATTATAACGAACATATACATTAATTTTATTCACATTATAAGTTTTACATGTTCTATTATTCTAGTAGAATCGGTTGATTGAAAATGATCTTATTTATAAAGATAAAGTTGAAGGCTGGTATTCAAAAAATGATCGATTATTTGATGGTGAAACTGATATCAAAGAAATTACTCATCCACACAGTGGAAAGAAATTGAAAGTAAGTTCTAATATATTGTTTGAATATGATAATGCGATAGTTATATTTAATTTTAGTAAATTTCTACTCACGTGAACAATTTATACGATACTATGTACTAACAGACAGTTTTTATGCCAGTTTGTGCGATGTAACGGTAACCTAAATAATTAGGGAAATCATATCCCAAAGGAGCATCGTACCATTAATGGGACTGAGAATCATGAGAATGATACACAATTAACACCTGACCCATTAATTTCATCTAATAATGAACATCAAAAAATAGTATTTCCATCGATACCGGGTTTATACCTTTATAAAAATTTGTTAACTCAAGAACAACAAAATAAGCTTGTTGATGCAATTATCCATGAAGGTTATTTTGAGCGACCAGAATCAAATCAAGCAATGTGTTTTGGTACACTTCCACCTTTTATTATGCGAGTTGTTGATATTATTGAAAATATGCCTTCCATTTTTCCTGATGAAATAAAAAATAGAAAACCTTTATTTGATCAGGTACGTATGTATTTTATCGGGTTGGAGGGCACAGAGTTGTTGGGCATGTCTCCCCTTGTGCATTATGCTTTTAAGCTAGAATGCATACCTATTTCATTTGATATTTAAAAATCTTATCGAAAAATGTAAGTCTGATTGGCTTAATA